AACTCGCCATTCAATAGTGCTCTTTTGCCTACAAATGGCTAAAGACAGTGATCTCATACCAACAGATTTGACTGCATCATTAGGACAGATGGACCCGGCAGCTGTCGGACTCTTGTTAGTGACAATTTCCCCCTCTTGTTGCTTGGCACTTTGTTTCTTTGGTTGGGCTATGATTGACAAAATCATTCTTTAAAAAATGTGACTCGAAGAAGTGCTATGTCCTTGCAGTTTTTTTTTTAAGTCTGAAAAATTGATCATTAAGAGGAAACCTTAGAGCTGCTTTCAAATTGCAAAATAAATTCATCAAAGCATCTGGCTTGATAAACTGACTCCTCATAGAAATGTGGTTGGCGATGTCAACATGGCGATGTTTGAACTGCCTTCACTGACTGAAAAGTACAGACTACAGAACCAAAATGTGCCATGTTTTTAAGATACTTAAATAACTAAAAATGTAAAAAGTGAGTTAAGATAATGAGGAAAACACTGAGAATATGGAGGGCTAACCACTGATCCACCTTGCAGCCATATCCAGTCTCGAGGACCCCAATTTTTCTGTCTGATTTCTGCATTTTTTTTATCTGCATCACTGTACAAAAAAGTCTCAAAGTTACAATTCAATTCAGTTTTTACCCTTTGAGGATTATCCACAGAGGTCCTCTGCTTTCCAAATCAGATTAAAACAATTTACCACATATTAACTTTAGAAGTAGTTTCTAAAAATGACGTTTACTCGTCTCTCTGCATTGACACAGATCTGGAGAGGCTGCAGCCCCAGCTGCTTCAAGAGTATGTGTCATTGCTTTTCTTTGTACAAGGAGAGCTTTGTAGATTTCATTCTTTGACACTTTTAACGCAGTAATGGATACAACAATTTGAATCAAGCAGACAGATCTAACATCCCTTTAAAGCTCAGTATCTCTATGGTTCTCTCAGACTGGGCTTTGGGGACTGCAAGCTGAGCTGCCACTAAGTATAGTCTCAAATGCAGCATCCTGTTTAATACTATAATTCACAACTGTTGTGAACATCATGAGTTGAAAATGGTTAGCTATACTTCAGAAGAAATGGCATTCCATGCCCCAAGATAAAGTGAAAACAACAAAGAAAACCTTTTCAATAATTGGCTCGACAATGCCAGGCTAGCTGTTTTGTCCTGCTTCCAGTCTGCTCTGAGCCAAGGTAACTAAAGCAAAGAAAAGCAAACTGGTTGTAGCGTCATATTTGGATTACTCACTATATGTTCTCTCTTAAGGAAAGTGAAGAAGCTTACCTCACTATCTTTTAACCTGAATGACAGGTATAAAAGGTGATGTTGATGATAGTTTGAACGATGTAATATTTTTTCAGGAAAGAGTTCTAGAAAGCTTACTCCAGCAATGTCTCAAAGCAATCTAACCTCTAACATTGCGTTAACAATGACAGAAAAACCTGAATTTGTAACCTGTTTCATCACAAGTAAAGGCATAAAAAACAGTCTGAATAACCACAGCACAGCCACAGTGCTATAGAATAGTTGGATGAAAGTGTTGCCTGTAAGCGTCTCTTTGAAATCAGGTGCAAAAAGAGACGGGAAAATCAACCATGGAGCCACTCCACACAGCCCTCAGCACTCTCTATCTCCTCCTGCCCAGTGATTCCATCACAGAGCTCAAGAGTTAATATGGTTGATGCAGTCCCTGCCCTGAGGGGGTAATGAAGTGACTAAGGGCTGACCAGCCCTGACCGCACGACAAGACAGCAGGTGTGAGCGGCGAAGGGTGTGACTGTGAGAGTGTGTGTGTGTGTCCGAGAGAGTACACTAAGCTTGCTGAGAATGAACCAGGCATCTAACCACAGGTCCAGATCAATTAGTTGGCCTAATCTGTCCTCTCTCTGTTAGCCATAAAGATCCCCTGGTTTCCCCTTGTATCTGTCATCTTTACTGCTACAGCACTGCCATCTATCAGCCTCTCTCTGTCTCACTCTCTCTCTCTCTCTTTCTTCTTTCTTTTTCTTCTTCCCACTTGCTCCCTCTGTCTCTCCGAGCCATCTCTCCTTCACACACTGCATTTATGCTCCAGCTTGGTAAACGGTAATCAATGTCTCACAACGGTGGACTGCTTCATCTAAACGATTTTTCAGGAGGGCTTCAGTGTAAGTGTGTGTGTGTGTCTGTGTAAGTGTGTGAGAGACAAAGAGAAAAGAAAAACAGAGAGCGAGAGACGGGAAGGAAAAAAGGAGTGATAAGAGTGACAAAGCATAAAAGATAGAACTTTTACTGCTCACACACACGCCAGCATTAAACAAATTGTTGTATGCCACAAAGTGTCTAATTTTGTGCATCTATGGTTTTGTGTGAGCCTGTGTAAGCGTGTGTCTGTTTAAAAATGTGTGAAACGCCTGCCTGGAATTGGCACTGACTCCAGAAGCTCACAGTAATGCATTCACTTTTGGTACATAAATCACAATCAGCCCATTCTGCCATCTGGGTTACTGCTACATGGCCCTTGTAATGTACACACTGGTTAGACCACCAGCTGAATAAATGAGGAGTCCAGGATACAAAGTAGATACATGTCTGTAATGGACCGAAAGGACCAACTGCTTAATTTTTTTCTGCAGGAAAAAATGTTTTATTTTTTCTCTACCCTTTTAGAGATTTGTGCTTTGTGTGTGTGTGCATTTATGATTTTTCATGCTTATCTGTCAATCAGATGTACTTCAAATATGTTAACAGAGCGTTGCCTTCTGTAACTGAATGGAAGTTGGGTGAAGGAAATGATGAACAAATTCCAAAAACAGACTACGACCACCAGACTGCAAGGCATTTGCAAAATGTTAGACATTTGACATTTACTTCAGATGGCAGAAAACTAGAAAGCACTCTGATTAAATTTTAAATAATGACTGAACAGTTGGCTGTCGTAACAGTTAAACTGGAAAGTGTTCAGCAAAGTTTTTCTCACCATGTCTGTGGATATTTTAGTACTCTGTCTACAAGAATAATGTAAAGCATGGAGTTATAATGTAAACAATGATAAGAAAATTACGTTCAAGGGGAAACTACATTTTATAAAGGACTTTATAGAATGGATTTCTCCTTAATGCTACCCTAAGTTTTGCTGATGTCTACACAAAACTAATTTCCAACCCATAAAGTGACCCTCCAAAAAATCAATTTCCCAAACAAAGGGTCATACGGGTCATGGTCCTCACCCCAGAGGTCCTGGCTCTTTGACAGATTCCTGAAAAGATCAGCATCTAATTGGAAAATTAAAGTCATCGATCGGCTTTTGGGACCAGAGGCGTTGCTCTCACTTTCCTAAATACCAATTAACTCAGGATAAATGATAAAATGAGGCACGCCAGCGGTCTTACAAACACACACAGATCCCAAAGTACACACATACACACACAATACATGTGCTTGTGCTCACACATTAACATGCTCAAGAATGCAGGCATTCGGAAGGGGGAGAACTTCGAATTTTATAATCATCGAAGGTCACTCACTAATATCCAAGCCTAAAATGTACTGTTACCCCATGGTGGCAAATTACATCCTTCCAAATAAAGTGCACTGCTGGGAATAGGTTCCATTTCTTCCAGATATGACTAAAATACATTTTCTGCTTACGTAAAACAAAAAAAAATTAAGTCAGGATGGGAGGAATTTGATCAATCTTGTTGTTGTAATGCACGCAATAAAAACAGTGTTGCCTTAATAAATCATAGAACAGTTTATCTTTTTTTTCCTCTAATGATAGCATCCATCAGTCTCAGTAATTGATTTTTTTTTTTTTAGCACGACTGTTAAACAACTTAGTATATATTGTTGGTATCAAATCACAATCAACGATCATTAATTGAGAAGGAGACATCTGAATTCAAAGAAGTGCTGAAAAAGGAGGACGCACAAAATTTCGATCTTGTCCAGAAAATAAAAGACCCATCGTCATCAATTAGATGCACGTGGAGATAAATTGTAAAACAGATGTTAAGTATAAACAAAAAAGAGCTGATCGGTGGTCAAATAAATCTGGCATAGCAGGGATTAAATAACAGAGACAGAGGGAAACTCTGCAATGTGACGTTCACATTTTGAAATTTCGGATACACGCAAATCAATTTAAGGGATTCCTGATCAATGGCACGATACGCTTGTAAGCCTGCATTCAGTCATTCAACAGCGTGGCTTTAATGCCCAGTGGCAAACATCCAACTTCCCTAAAATGCATCCTGTTGGCGCATCAAGTGGCTGCAGTCCACGGAAACGCATCCCACCGTGCAGGAGGCGCGTGAAGGCATTCTACACTCGGGTAATTTCACTTTGGAGAGTCGACAGTGTTGTTACAACTATAAGATCGTAACGCACATTTACTATAGTATGCAGCTGAATACAATAAGCTGAAAATGATAAATCCTGGAGACTTACATTTCTGCAGCTGTGCCTAACGAAATGCATGCACACTACAAGTGCTGCTAATTTGTACTGTGGAGAACTGTAGGCTCCAATAAACGCAATTTGTAATGTGCAGTTATCATATCACATGCCATCTGGATGCCATGTACTTTGCAGTAACCTGCAAATCGTTACAATTAGCCCGTTTACTGTGTTAATCATTTGCTATGATACGGATCACGACTGATCTCTTGCGTACCGGTCATTACCTAACGCGCTAAGATGCCGTTAATTGTGTTACAAGTGAGGCAACAAGTTAAGTGCTGATGTTCAGCCTTGAAGTAGACATGCAAAATCTTCAATGAAATGCAAAAGACCCCATTCAGCGTTTTTTTACACATTCACGCACGCACACAAAAAATACTCTGTGTGCTTTTAGGCAATTCCCCTCTGTTGCAGCACACACACACACACACACACACACACACAAACACAACTCCTTCTTTGCAACGTCGAACGACCTCATGCAAGTCCAGTGGAGTTGTATGTTGCAAGACCCAGCTACGGCACTGTGAACTTGCCAAATCCCAAATTAAAACACCCCTCAAAGTCCTACCTTTGGAATCTGATGGAAGAAATAAATGCCTTCGTCTTGGCAAGTTGCAGACGAATGTGGGAGAAGACTGCAGCTGCTCCCGGGATGAAAGGTGTACGATCCCCTGTGAGATAAGAAATGAGAGGGACAGACGCTCTATGCGCCCTGCCTGAAGCCGCGCTGCGCGTCTGGAGTCTCCGTTCCGAGGAGCGCAGGGGGGGAGAGGGACGGCCAAGCCGCTCTCGGCACGGCGCGGTGTGGAAAGCCCCTGGTGGCGATGGAGGGAAGCGACGAATGAAAAGAGGAGAGAGATGGAAAGAGGGAGTGAGAGAGAGAGAACTGTGGAGCTCGTCGGATACACCAGTGGATATAAAAAGTTAAAGAGCTAATACGGCCAGCATTCTTGACAGTATACTCTGATACAAATACTGTGAATATGTACGTCATAAATATATGCTTATTTGTTTTCAGATGTGTGCAAAGTACCTAAAATACTGTTTTAAATCAGCCTGAGTGTAGTGAATTAGGTGCGTGTATTTGTGCATACTTTCAAACGCCAACAGATTAAGGGGTGCTGAACAACAGCACAATAAATATATAACCTTTAATGCTTAAGACATGGCTTGGACAAAAACAGATGCTGACTTTGGTTGTTTTTTAGATTCAAGTTTTCTATCCATTTGCATCTGGGTCTGAGAGATGGCTGTCCAGGTTTCTATGTGTGAGAAGGAAGCTTAGCATTTCTGATGAAGAAGAAGTATTTCTGATGCATTGTCCTCCAACACCTTAAATTTACTTTAAGATCATTTAAAGAGATCAGCCCCCCTCCTGCAGCAGTTTCAAGAAAGGAGCAGAATTCCTATAACTTCTTTTCCCCATTTAAAGTCAGACATGTTACTCTCCATGGAAAGAGTGAGAGGGGCTAAAATGTTTTTGTGTTTTTTGTTCATTTGCAGCAGAGAAAAGCTTGTATGATTTTTTTTAGAATCGGCATGAGTCATACAAAACAACAGTGAGAGGAAATGATAAAAATACTTGCGCACAATGGAGGTTAACAAAGTCCTGAGGATCGATTCAGAGTAATTCTTCTGATTTGAGACGGTGAATAGGTCAAGTATGCCTGCTTCATTTCATTTTTTTCAGCTGTAAATCGGAGAGCGTGTTTTTGTGTGTGTGAAACATGCAGTGAGTGAGGGACCAGACTGTGACAGAATGAGTGAGACACAGAGACAAAGAGGGAGAGCGTCCCACTGCAGATTGCCCACCGATCACAACCAGCTGGAGTCTCTCAGGGGCTCAGTCAGCAAGGTCAGGAAGGTTAGGACGCTGATGTACCAAAAAGCTGGTGTGGCGAGGCTGCGCGCAGAGAGGTGATGAATAGAGGAAGAGAGAAACAGAGACAGAGAGAGAGAAAGACGTGACGGAAAAGGGGGGGGGGGGGTCAGAGGGTGCAGGAGAACGAGAGAAAGAAACAGGTTATATTCATTCTCATGCTAATCCCGAGTGAGAACTTCATGACTGGTTGGTTACAAATTGATAAATGTGTAGACCCTCAGGCAAATTATTACTAGGAAGAAGTGTATGGAATGGGGAACGGCTTAATCAAACATTTCACACAAGAACACTCTTCACATGCATTTGATTATTTTAATTTAGAAATAGACAGAATTGGATTTAGCCAGTTAGCGACATTTGAGGATGTCCAACATAAAGCCCATTGAATGTCCTAAAGATGTTATTGCATGTAGTGCAAAAAAAAACAAAACAAAGAGGACTAAAGTGCAGAAAACCAAACATATTTAATTTAACAAAGAAATGTAAAAACAGAAATCTTACTTTTACAGTCCACATAATGTCAACTGATAAGTCCTTCTACCACAGGAGAAAAAAACCTCCAGGAGATCACAAGGAGGTAGACATAAGAATGACAAGAGCACAGCATGGGTAGACGTATCTGAACTGACAGCGAGAGGGAAGTTACACTGAAACTAAATACACACAGGGGTAATCAGACACAGGTGAGACTAACGACACAGCTGAAGACAATCAGGGCAATCAACATTGGAGGCAAAGGCAGGAAGTAAGACAAGACAAGAAACAGTGGGGACAGGAACTACAAAATAAAACAGGAAACACTAAAGTCACAGAGAGTTCAAGAATGTAAAAGTAACAATACACACAAGGACATAAACACAAAATGAAACAGGAAACACTAAAAACTAAGCTAGCAAACACACAAGGGAAACAAGCAAGACCAGCGGTGATATGATTTCAGAGATTGTTTCCCTCGATGTAATTATTTATTGTTTATATAAACATTATTTTAGTTTGTTAACCAATGCTTTTCTGATTAGTTATCATCTGGATCTACCAGGATCCCACCAATATAATGCACTGTTATTCACCGTCAGAGGGATGATCTGCATCATTCATTACTCGTGTAGGAATCTGAATCTGAAAGGAAAACAGTTTTTATTTTGTTTCCCTTTATGTGTCTAACGAGTCCAAAAATGTCTATCTCCTACATGACCCTTGCAAATAGCCAAATTAAGATTTTTTTTTATACGTTTGTCAAACGCTAAAAGCAACTAGCTGAAAATCAATTTAACTCAAATAACAATCCTCATAAAGGAGAGGATTGTATTGATGTTGTGTTCATGGTTAAGCACAGGTTCCCCACCCCCCACCCCACCCGTAATCATCTCTTTCCTTGCATCTTATGCCTCCAGTAGGCTTGCTGTCGCTGGTCATTTTACATAGTCAGGTCTCTGAGGGGAAGTGCTGACTAAGGACATGTCTCCCTTGAATATTACATTTTTCCTCAGCAGCGAGGTGTTGAAACACTGCCTGTGCCCATCGCTCAAGCCAATAATGGGAACCGGAGACCAGCAGCTACAAACATAAATATCTGTGGATATAGTACTGTTAGACACAAGCAGCAGTGGATCAATACAGGGCAATGAGAGAAGGAGAGGAGGTTGGAGAGAGGTGAGGGACCATGGCTAAAAGGTCCAAAAATGCTACGGGTAGTGTTACTACCATATTTCAACTGCACTATGCTCTATTTCACTTGAGAAAATGATTATAAAGGAAGACACAAGCCAACAGTTACTGAAGCAATTAGCCATTTTTTCAATATTTTATCATGGGCATCATGTCCCATCATTCTATCCATATTCACACTTTCTACAACCTAAAACTAAAAGTCTCCAAGGTAGGAAATGCTTGACCATATCACCCTGTATTTGCAGTATTTTGAGACACAATGCTGGTTTAAAACAGATCTTGCTTAAAGTCCTAAAATATGAATAAACTTGGCTTACATGTGCAACACAGAGCAGCTACTTACAATGTTTCAACTGTCAGTATGGGTTAGTGTTGGCCAAGGAAGTTAAAAAGGCTGTGAGCTGGTGTTTACAGCCTTCTGCCAAATTAAATACCAAAGACAACTCCTCATTTTCAGTTGATAGACAGCGGCAGAGAGCTGTTTCAAGGCTGACTCCAAATCAGCATCATGGACAGATTCTCACTTTCAGTTGGAAAACTGTGGCAGAGAGCTGAAACAAAGCTTATTCCAAATAATCACCACAGACAACTCCTGATTTCCAAACAGCAGACTGTAGCAGGGAAATGTTTTACAGCTGATCAGCACATTGGACAACTCCTCCAGCGTTCTTCTTCACAACAGTCCAGCATTGAATGCCCCTCTGCTGCTGATAACAAGTCAGCACAAATCAGCACCATGGACAGATCCTCGCTACCAAACAAGAGCCCAGAGAGGGGCTGCTTTAATTCTGATCCCAAATCAGCATCGTGGACAACTCCTCTTCGTTAGTTGAGGGACACAAATTCAATTCCACAAGGGGAGATATATCATTGCAAAATCAAAGATTGAGGGGGAAAAAACTTCAATGCAGACAACTTATTAGCTGTCTGTAAGAATTCTTATTCTTCACTGCTTATTCCAAACCAGTCTCATATCCTCATTTTCAGTCAAGACTTTGTCAGAGAGTGGACTCATCCTCATTTCCAACAGCAGACTATGAAAGATAAAATACAAAATAAAGTGAAAACTGAAGTAGTGAAAACCGTAGAAGCGAGACGTGTCACAGATTATTCCAAGTAAGCATTATCGATATTTCCTCAATATCAAAATGGAGGTCAGTGGGATAAAAAGTGAAACCAAATTAGTATCAGAAAAACATTCTCATTGTCAAGTGGAAGAGCGTGAGCTCCCTAGAAGTTTCTGTCAAGCAGATCCAATCACACTTCCTTAGTTTGAAACGGTTGTCAGGAGACAGGAGAGGGCTGCATTAAGGCTGATCAAAAATCAGCACTGTGGACAGCTCCTTTTTTTTCCACACAGCAGACCGTAAGAGACAGCTGGTTAACAGCCTATTCCAAATCATCACCATGAGAAACTTTTTATTCTTAAATCAAAGATGTGGCTAAGAAAAAGCTTAAAGCTGATCATAAATCACTAACACAGACAACTCCTTATTTCCAAACAGCAGACTGGAGAAGAGTTTGGACACCTTCTCCAAATTAGCACCATGAGTATTTCCTCTTTTTTTACACCACAATAGGATAGAGCTGGTTGAAAGTTGATCCCAAATCAGTACCTGGATTATTTCCTGATGAAGATGGAGAGCTACCTGAAAGCTGCTGCCAATAAACGACAACTCCTGATTGAAAACTATAAGCGGGAGAGGGCTGTTTTTAAGCTGATCTCAAATAAGCAATACAAACAACTCCTCACGTCTTAACAGTCATCTGTATTATAGAGTTGATTCACAGCTGATCCCAAATCAGCATCATGAATATTTCCTCATTTTCAAAAGCATGACAGTGGGCGGGAGAGCTGCCTGAGAACTGATCTGAAACCTGCACCCAGGACAACTCATTTCCTCAGCGTCTGCAGAGAGTGGATGAAAGCTGCTTCAAAGCTGATCCCATGTCAATATGGACAGCATAAGTTATTCATACAAGCTCACTCCACCAAAAAGAATATCTATACGGATGTCACAGGAAGTCTTCCATAGAGCTGTAATGGTGACTTCATCCTCGCCAGTGCTCTCCCTGTGGAAGGTGGAAGTTCTAGACAAAGAAGTCTGGAGGCAATGTTGAAAAATTGACATCATGTAGCTCAAATTCTCTTCATGTAAGAAGGGCACACAGACGATGAGGACGTTATAACACATATGTGTGTGGAGCAGTGTGACAACGGTGGGAGGCGGCCTCTTCCTTGAA